TAACAAGGTTTGTTCATTCAATGAATTTCTTTTAAAAAAAAAAAACATTTGCATTCTTGTAAGAAACACAAAGAAGCAAAGACTTAAAATGGGAAATGATATGAAAATGCTGGTCAATTCAACTCAATTGACTGAGTATAGAATCTCTGTTTTCGTCACACGCACGTCAGTCTGCCACACATCAAATGAGTGATAATAAATAATGGACTTATTTTCAAATGAATTAGAAAGATACAAAATCCCAAACCACAACATCTCCCTGGGAGGGCTATTAGGTTTGGCATCTACTAAAATCTTGAAACTTTTGCTGAGTGTTTTATGCATACGTAGGCAATATCTTATGTAAATCAAATGAAGCTTTTAACCATTCTGTACAAATTCTGAATACTGAGAATTGGAAATGAAAGCAGATGTTTTAAAAGCTACTGTATATAGGTAAATGGCCATTGGCTTCTGGACCCTTGCTGGCATAAAGCTGATCATGGACTATCCAGAACCCCTCAGCCAGCAAGGATGCTAAAGAAGAACAGCTGTGAAGGGAAAATTCTGCAGGAGTGGACAGTAAGGAACAATTCACTCTTAGTCACTCAGTTCTGATATAATCCGCCATTTCCCACAGCTCAAGAGGGCAGCTTTCATTGTCTCAGGACAATCACGTAGAAGACACTTCTGTTTTGATTTCTTTCTCTTTAAGCCCCTGACTTGCTCATGAAACATTACAGAAGTATGTCTGCCCCTGCTCTGGGTAACCTGTCAGTTGAGTTATTCTCCCCTTTGGAATGGGCAGCCATGCTTAGATAAAATGCTGTTTGTATGAATGAGTTAGTTGTTAGCAGAAGTCTACCTGCCGAAGAAGTAAGTTGGCAGTGTCATTACCACTGCCTCGCACGATCTACTCTTTTCAGGTCAGCAAGACGGCCTCAGCAGCACTGGGATGGGAAACCTCCTAGGAAAACAAGAAAATTGCTTTAGACGGTGCTGGTGAACCGGAAGGGTGCACTTGTCCCCCAAAACCAGAATTTCCACATACGAATAACCCAGGATAGTGAGCAGAGGCAGCGTGTTGTAGGAGTTGCCTTTGGATGAGATGTTAAGCTGTCGGTCTGACTACTTGGTCATTAAAGATCCCACGGCTCTATTCGTAAGGGCAGGAGGCTTAACCCTGCTGTCTGGCTCATTTCCACTCTGGACTACCCTAATGATCTCCCTTCATTCGACTGGAGAGGGAACTTCTCAATTCTTTACCTCATTTGCTATGTACTTCAGTGCCGCCTCTTCCTATCTACAGAGTGGTTTGGGGTCCTTAGGCATGAAACAAATTCATGCTCTATAAATTAAATGAATTGTTGTTGTTAACTGTCGGGTGTAGCTTGAGAAGCTTTTGATGAATGATTACAAGTAATTCTTAATTTGGAATCAGGAAAGTGAACTGCAATTTTTTTTTTATCCTAGCCACCACTGCAGTTTCCCAAATCACAGTTTTCATCTATCCATCGATGTTCCACAGCGGCTTCCTCCTATGGATGGCTGTGCTGAGGCAGATCCTATCCTGGCGGAGCCAGGGCGCAAGTTGGAATTGCACCCTGGATGGAATCAGTGCATCACAGGGCAGACACAGACGCACAAGCAGACATGGACAAGAGACAACAATAGCCCAGCCAGCATGTCTTTTTTGAAGTTGGGAAGACCCGGTGAATACCCATCTATCCATCCATCCATTTTCACTCTGCTTTCCCTGGTGAGGGTCGTGGCTGCAGTAGACTGAGTGGATCAGCCGAGACTTCCCTGTCCCCAGTACAGATTCCAGCTCCTCCTGGGGGATCCCCAGATGCTCCCAAGCCAGCCGAGAGATATAATCCCTGCAGCCTGTCCAGGGTCTGTCAATGGGTCTCCACTCAGTGGGACGTGCCTGGAACAGCTCCAGTGGAAGCCGACCGACCAGGGGGGCATCCTTATGAGATGCCCAGACCACCTCAATCAGCTCCTCTCGCTCTGGAGTAGCAGCGACTCGACTCTGAGGCTCTCCCGGTGCCGGTGAAAACCCGTGTGCACGAACTAGAACATGCACACTCCTCACAGAAGGTCTCCAAGCCTGAAAGTCGGGTCCAGCAGCACTGTAAGGCAGCTCTTCACTCTACTGGTTCTCAGTTGTCACGGTTTATGTGATCAATAAATACACCATTTGTCAAGCCATCGGGAACAGCTCTGCCAATTGCACAAAGTGTCACCACATCCAAATGCCTTCTTTTCATCTGAGAATGGGTCTCAACAAGATCAGAAATTGACATCTTGACATCACACAGCTCTCAAGTCAGAAATCATCTCCATCCCCCCCAAGTCAGACATTTCTATTTAAAAGAATAATACATCCTTGAACATGTGTATCTACCAATGTCTTCTAACGTTCTTCTCCTCATGTAACTCATTCCCATTTCCAGTGTTCGGATACTTTGGTCTTGCTTAGACTGTGAACTAAAGGGAAATCTGAAGTATTTATCACTCTACCATACTTGTGTAAGCTGATTAGAAAACAAAGGAAAATGGAAGAGGAAGAGTCATCCATACCATGACTAGAGAAAAGGATTTTGAAAAAGACCGGGGAAGGCGAAAATGGCCAAATATATAGCCTCTTAAACAGCACATTCAGAACAGTTTAATATTGTTATTTTGTAATAATTATTATAAAATACATGTAACTCGAGGCATTTTTTATTCGTTTTCACGGAGTAGATGAAAATGACAGGGATAACATAAAAACATCTGTGTGGTTAGTTCGGACAAAGTAGCAGAACACTGGAAATCACGCTTAATAAACCTCTTTCAGCATTTCAGGATTTGGCAACGAACAGCTCTTTCTCGTGAACTAAAGCGTCGGTTTCTTGTTTGCTGTGCGGCGTGGGAGTAATTATAGAGAATTCTTACTGTACGTTTTCTCCGGAAGACAAACCCCACGGCTTCGACCACTCTCAGAGTGAAGACTGTCTCTTACTAAAGACTGAACACGCTCCTCGAGACTACAATAATTCAGTGATCCCCACCTGTCCGCCCACTTCCTTCTCAATAACCACCCTCAAGATATTAAGACTATTCACTTACCCGCGACATGCAAAAAGACCCGCATTGCAACCGCGCATAAAAATCTATAAGCGAAAATACAAAAGTCTATAATACCAACAATATTATCGTTTGTACTGAAAATGTCATTTCGTTTTGGCCAGTTGTGTTGGGTAATCACACATACCAAAAGCAGCAATGATAAATAAACTCCGCATGAGCAGGGCTACAGCGGGCAGTAAAAAGACGCACTCCTCTGGCATCTGAAGTCTGCGCTGTCTGTAGGAGAATTAAACGTCGTTCTACAGAGCAGGTGTCCTTCAGTTTTTCGCAAAAATGCTTATTTGTTGAAGAAGCGCACAATGAGCACTGTAGCTTACAGGCGAAACATATTTTTAAAGAGCACCTAGTGGGTTGAAATTGACCGCAATATCCCATCCTTCAAATAGCACATATTAACCTAGTAAATCGACTGTCAGTTAAAGCATTTTGGTCAAATCACACGCAAATACTGATAGAATTAAGCACAGCATTTCCAAACCAAACATCTTTAAAATCCATTGAGCAAAGTCGGGATCTATCCGTCTTTCTGGAAAAACGAAGAAGGTGTAAACAAGAAGTTTTGGAATACAAGAAGAAAAAATAAGACATCATTGTCTTCAAGTGATTTAATCTTAAATTTTAAGTTTAAGGGTTTCAGAAGAGTTGTGGGGTAATGGGATCAACGCGCGATAAATGCATAATTTGGAATTTTGCAGTGTGAATCTCCAAATTAATTTGATGCATATGATCTCTTCATTCGCAAACTTAAAATGTTGGTGTCATCACTAGTTTAACTCTAAAGTACAGGTAAACGTAGCCCGCATCTTCTTTAGAAATGATCAACTCCCCATACATTAAACTAGATATATATTGCACTCAGCTAAATACAGTATAGGAAGACGGGTTTTTTTTTTCTAAATTAAAACGGGACTTTTCATATGACGCAATAATCGTAATGTGATATTACATTATACGCATTCATTTTTAATTTAAAAACATAAAAGATTTATGAAAAGATTGTAACGAAAAGAAAAGAAACGCCTTCAACACCCACAAAAGTTGATAACGGAAACAAAACTGGCTAAAGAATGCACTTGTCAAATTTTCTCTAGACCAACAACTGCTCAGATTTCAAAATAAATTTAGAAAAACAAAGTAGGCTCTCTTACGCTAAGGCGTATGTATATATGAACTGCACATATATTAAATTCCAAATCAAATTAAAACGAAACGTTAAGATGGGTTATCCGTGAGTCCCTAGACATCAGCAGTGGGCGCACGCAGATATCCAGTGAGGGGAGATGGGAATCGGCTAATTGTTAAATATAGAGAAAAAAGTTACATTCTAGGGCTAAATAAACAGATCGTGTTAAAGTTCTTCTCGATAAACCAGTTTGTCCCTATTTCACGTTGTTTCGAATCAGTGGTACCGTAACTCCTTGTACAGTAGATCAGAAAACCTGAACACGACCATAAATGACTTGCAGGATTTTGCTTTGAAGTGTCCCGCTTATGCATTTGTTTGGCATAATTAATACAAGGAGCGCAGTTTATTCTTTTAACTGAATGGTTAATTGTAAAAACCTCCAAACATCCTTGTTATAAACGAGAGAAGGACATGCCAGATTGCTCTACAGCCAGACAAAAGATAGGTAACTCTGGAAGCACCCGTATGATGTTTTACCCCAGAAGAGACCATATCCACGTCCTAACTGCTGTAAAAAATACACAGACTAAAAGCGGTATAGCATATTATAACATACACGCGTACAAAAACACACTACCGCGAAAATTTACAGGTAAAAAAAAAATTGGCAACATATCACAACAGAAGGGGGGGTGGGAGGGGGGGGGACACTATTACAAAGCCTGGATGACATCATCGCTGGGTTATAAAAAGCGTGAATGGTGTTCCTCTCTAGCAGTGCAGAACTTGAGTATCTTGGAGTAAGCGAGGCAAGACAATCCACTTGCTGAGAACCGACCTCGATCCGAAGATTTTATTGTAACCAGAAGGAACCCAGTCTTCGAGTTCGCCACTGAGCAGAAATGAATATCTCGCATTTGGTGGCTTGTGGACTATTGATGACTCTGCTTTCAGTGAGCATGGAGGCTAAACCTTTGACGCCGGCACAGCAAAAGGTAAATCAGATTTACACGGTATAGACTCCGTTAGTATAGCCTTGTGATATCCAGCGTAATGATCCATTGTTGTTTTCGGTGGTGGCGTATTCTTTTGTCTGAAAAATAATTGACAGTGCGTTTAACGGTTAGTTTATATTATTTCTTAAACCATTTAAGCTAACTTTTCTACGACTCCTTGCAGTTATGCTCGGCTGTTACTTTAGTTTTTTTTTGCTTTTGGCGCAACTATTCCTACGAGTTGTACTAAAACAATAACAATAACAGCCGCATTAAAATACGTTTTGAACAACATATTAACCTGTTCATCCATTAATAAAGTGGTGGGAACGTTTTCTTCATGGTGTTCAAAAATAGTTGGTTGCATACATTTTTAAACTTCGAAGTTTAGAAGTTCACTGAAGGAAAAACACAGTTTTATTTTTATTAAAGTTTCACTCTCATGACCCTGTAGTGTTAGAGATGACTAAAACCCATCATCATTATAAGTACTTATTATTTCTTAATTTTAAAAACTAAGAAAAAAATTTTTTACGCATGGTGCGTAAGAAAACATGACATATGAGGAAACGTACAAGTTATCTTAATAGCATGTTCTTCTTTTGGTAGCTGCAAGTATCGCACCTATGTCATGTTCCGGGATGCATCACATTCCAAGAACTGTATTCTGGTACCCAGACATTCAGAAGTACATGAACGCGCAGATACGATGGTAAAAGAGATGAGGGCTCACCGTAGCTTCTTGTAGATTCAGACCCGTCTAACAGAAGAAAAAAAATTTAAGATAATTTTAATAACTTAGTGACTGAACCTCTTTGTCCCACTTTCGGAGCTCGTAAAACGTTTAGCGGACATCAGTGACAAAAGCCCCACCTCGGTAGTAGTGTAGTACCTGTGCATCATACATGGGCATTGTGACCAAATCGATGGAAAGCAGTAAAAAAAAAAGACAAACAGGACAATTTCCTTTCCGTATAATATAAGTATCTTTACGGAATTTATCTACTGAAATAATACATATCTTTCATTTTCCAATGGAGTTTATATTGGGTAATGTCTTAATACGGACATATCTTTAAAAAAGTTTTTTTTCTTTAGGAGGTGGCGTGAACTCCCACTTATCTGAATCTTCCCACATGGAAATTTACTAGGATGTAACAACGGGAAAGTGTTAAAATCGATGTAGGTTATGCTAAAATGGGGAAAAAAAAACACAGCAAAGTATCCACAGCAATGTCTCAATAGCACCTCCAACAGTTGATAAGAAGATACTCTGTTCTTACCCATGTCCCCAGTTTGAATAGGAGAGCTTCTCTACTTTATTCCAATACTAAACGTTAAATAGGCTCCTTAAAATAAACCTTTAACCTTTGTTGACAATGACTTAGCCTACCGTATATTCAGTAACTCCTGCATCCACATGAGCATGAAGTCGACAGCTTAAAGACTTCTGCAATATTAAACTCGATTAGTAAGGACGGTTTGTGGATTGAGCTGAAGGTCAAGTAAAATAAAGCTGTTAGTGGCTGTTTGTCATTGTGCCATCCTCCTCTATAGCTCACATCTGCACCTACCCTGGCAGGTTCCAGGTGAGCTGTTGATGATTCCTTATGGAGAGTGGCGCCTGCACTCTCACAGCCTCTACGGAAAATATATTCCCTGCTCCAACACCGCAGAAAACACAGAAGGAAATATACTAAGTATTACAGAAGCAAAAGAAAGCAGGAGAGATTCTGATCTGCAGAGAGGCGTTAAATGGACAACAAAATGTGATTCCAACTCTCTTTTGGTGCATTTTGCATCTCACTCCGCCACATATGACTGGCTAGAGAAGTGTGAGACCGTAGAGTCTTATATTCACTCCTGCTGCTGATTTTCAGTGAATGGCTGCACATTACAGTCATCTAAACCTGTGATCATCTCTTTGTGGATGATCACAAATAAAATAATGACATACAATGACTGGAAACTAAAGGGGGAAAAGCGTATTGTAATATGTTTACAATCGGAATTCCCGATTTACTTTGGTTTACATAAAATAACGAACGGTGCGAGCCGTTCAGGTGCCGTGTGGTTACACGCAACAGTTGTCCGGTTAAATAAAGCATGCTGAACCAAAACACAGAGGGTCATTTTATTAACGCAGAGTATTAAGATGCTCAAGCAATAAGTTCCTGCTGGAAAGAGAACTGCTGTGGCGACCAGTCTTGCTGTATGAAGACAGTTACTGGATTCACAGACGGACCATGCGTGAGTCCAGCTGCCACAGGTCTGACCAGGGAAGCCGAGAGCTGACGCCTTTTTCTTCTTTATCTCTTTGTTTTAGTCTCTTAGAAGCTTGCTAGGCGAAGAGCTGTCCGAGTACCTAGCATCGGGGGAGACGGAAGGCAAACTTGAGAGTGCAAGGTCGAGGGTGCGACTCCTCCGGGACCTGCGCCTGGACACCCGGGCGAAGGCAGCCTGGGCGCGGATTCTGAACGACCAGCCCAGCCCGCGGAAGTTCAAGGGCGGCGTGAAGAAAGGGGGATCCCGGGGCTGCTTCGGCCACAAGATTGACAGAATAGGGACCATCAGCGGCCTCGGCTGCTAAAGAGACAGCGCCCAGAGGCGGTAAGTGAAGCACCGGGGTGGCAAACTCTAGGAGGATGTGAGCTGACGTCAGCAGTATCGGAGACGCAAATCTCATGTTGTGAGTGCTTGGCAGTCGTTAACAGTGAAGTAGTCATTAATAAACATGTATAAATGACAAATATCCAAATCTGGTTGACAGCCGTGCAAGTAATCATTTAAAAGGGTCACCTATTATAGGGTTATTAACACTGCATTATCATTCTCTTCAGGTGTTATGGGTGAAAAGAGCTTTCGGATTAATTTCGAATTCCATATTTTGAATTGTAACCATAAATACACTGTATATGTGTACTTGGAATATAGTGTTTCTTCATGTAAAAATTTTTTAACACTTGGGAGTGGTAGCGAAAGGCACTCTAAGTAGTTTTGGATCCAGGTTACAGTGAGGTTGGGACTCAAATGAAATTCACACTGATCACACTGTCAATTAATTGTGCAAAAAAAGCACTTGCTTACTTAAATTATGTCAAAACAATTTGACATTGTGTCATGATCTGAAATACAGTCGTGACACACAGATTCAAAGACATAATTGGAAAACACAATGTTTTTGTTATTTGTGCTGCTGCTAAAGCAGGATGCCTCCTGTATTTTTAGGGAATAAAAGAAATAGGCAAATCTTTACGTTTCTAATAAACAATATAGTCCAATATTTATTTTGTACATTTGAGGGATGTATTAAGATAAAAGGACAAAAATAAAGGAATCATGGGGAAATAATGTCCTACTGGGTGCAGAATGCCATTTATTGATGCTCCCAGTAGCTGGAAAAGAAGTCTGTATACACATAAAATTAAAAGAAAAATATTTACGAGTGACTTAATTAAATGTATCCACAGCAAAGATTGTCTTTAATAAAGTATACATTATTGGACACTAACAAAGGATCAGGGATTAAATATAGGACAAAGAATTTCTTAATTATCACTGAGTGCACTGAGTACAAGTGCTTTTTGTAGTCTAAATGTTCTTCATGTGTCAAGGTTGTTTCAGAACTGTAGACATCAGTCTGTCCTGGCACAATGAAATCCGAACACCACACAAGAAACGAAATGTGCACTGAATGAAAATGCTTATGGATAGTTCTTTGAATGTACTATACCGCCTTACCACCTTGCACGTGTGTAAATGGGAAAATGTGACCATTACCATCAGTAATAAACTAGTGTAAATGCCCTGAGATTAGAGGTTGCATTATTAGGGATCATGTCATAGGCAGCTGACACCTTACATGTCCTTTAGCATGGCTCATTACAGGAATTTGTAGGTCAGCATACAGTAAATGTGTATAAAACATTAACTAATTTAGTGATAAAGATATGAGGTGATCCACAGTTAACTGAAGCAAAGTACACATATGGCTTCAGACTATGGCTGTAAAATGTTCTCCGAGACCGGGCGTACGTAATCTCTCTTTCCAAAGTCAGCTGAAGTGTGTCAGTGGGTGAATGTGTCTTACTTTTTCCATTTTGTGCAATCGATCATCCCCTTTCCCTGTTTCCCCACTCTGACCCCCCTGGAGTGAGAGAAATGGTTAGGAGTGTTCCTTGTACCCTGGCTTCTTCCAAAACTAAAAACATGGGATGAGATCTTTGAATCAATGAGCTACTTCAGAGGGGCCATTGTACCAGCACCGGTTACATATGGCAATAAAGTTCAAGTCAAGTCAAATGTCCATCTCTCGTTTCTGAATGTTCTTACTGACAGTACATCTCATAAACTCCATCAACACTGATTTTACGAAGATTGACATTGAGTTAAGCAGGCAGGAAAAAAATAAATGCCAATGGTATTACTTATGGCAGATTTTATTTTTGTCTCAGAATTTTGCAACGAGGAAATTCATTTGATGGTAAAACTTTTTTTTTTTTCCAGAACCTTCATTGGACGATGGGTTTGGACAAACTCGGCTGTGGTTGCTCTTTACCTGAGGAAAACAGAAAGCACCCTCTCTTTTCAAGAAACTGACTGGTTCGAATTTTGGTACAACGAACCACCATCACCAGCGTTACAGAACACTAAGAGAAAAAAAAAATCCGAAAAAAATATACATAAAAAATAAACGCTACAAAAAGGCGGACAATGATGTAGACACTAAAACTGCAAAGCTGTATATTGTCGCTGCTGTAAATTCATGTACTTCATTCCTGCATAAATGTATTTATGTTTAAGAAAACTATTTATATGTTTATAAAAGAGATATTTATAAATATGAGTTTTATTTATGTAACATTTTGAAATGGATTTAAACTGCAGGTCAAACACGTTTGTAACATTTTTTTTGTCTTAAATAGCTGTAAATGTTTTAAAAAATGAAAAACCATTCCACATGCACTCCTGAGTCTCTCCCAAGTTTGTTCTGTGGAATTCTGTTGGACATCTGTGACATTATGTTTTTGTAGCTCCTTGCTTTTCTTTCTATGTACTTGAGTCTTGTATGGAGAACAATCTCTAGTACGCGGGAACAGTCATCTAAGTGAATGAAACTTTATGGCCTTTCTAATGCAGATATCAATATTAATTTAAGATCCTTTAAAGGATCCAGTTTTTTTTTTAAATAGAATATTTTCAGCTCCTTTTCATCACTCTGCCCAGGTCTTTCTGCTTGGTAAAAAAAATAGGCACTGGAGCTGAAACTTTATACATTTGTTTCACCATTTTATAATATATCCATGCTGGACTTTATACAGTGCATTTCTCAAAAGTAACATTAGAAAAATGTGTTTGCTCTGTGAATATATTTTCATCTAAGACTACTAGGGGAGAAGAGGAAAATGATGCAAAACCAACCAAAAAAACATATTTGATACACAAAAAGATTGAAAAGGGGTACATTACATTTGTTCCAGACTATTTGTCTAGTTGTACATAGTGGATTCTAAGACAAAGATCTGAATAAAAGGTATATGGTGGTAACTGTACGGAGGAAAAGGCAATTGCACCTCATTTTAAACAACAGAGGGAGCTACAGAGATCACAAACTGTGCAGTCTCAGGATGATCAAGACAGGCGTGCCCAATCTGGGTTCTGAATGGTGTGTCTACTGACTTTAAAAGTCTCCTGAAAGCAACAGCACCAGAAGAGCTCTTTAAAATTGTAAACTTGGTCCAGTAAAACCAGTAACCAGTTGGTGTGGCTTGTTTAGAGTTGAGCTTGCATGGAAAACTGTAGATACACTGGCCCTCATTAAAGCTATGTAACTTTACACACTCTATCTATCCAATCCACTGCAGATACCTGGTATTATAATTACGTCAAAGGAACAAGCACAGGTTTATTCCATGCTGTAAAGAAAAGAAACACAACGTTTCGTCTGTGGAGCCTTCTTCAGATGTGAGAGAGAGAGGAAAACCGGCTGTTGATTAAGCATGAGAGAACAAAAGCCGGGAGTGGAGAGGAGGCGGGAGCAGGAGAGAGGCAGAGTGGACACGCAGGTGATGTGAAGTCAAGAGAGCTGTGAAGTCAAAACCTGCTTCTGCTTATTTGGGATTTTCTGTAACACACATCTAGTCTGAGAACTAAACTTTTAATCCACTAAAAAACTGATTTTTATCAAAGTTTTGTTGTATACTTCTGCCTGGAACCCCCTAACGCATGCATTTCTACTGTAGAAGAGTAAGTGCAAGGCTCATTTCCCCTTTCATTAAAACCTAAAGGCTTCTTAATATCCATCATCAGCCTTCATGGCAGTGAGGCTCTGAAGCTCACAAACACCTACAGAAAAACCAGTTCTTCTACAGTTCGATGGGGCCCAATCAGCATGACAGAGAATAACAAAATCTTCATCAGAGTCAACAAAGCCAGTATCCGACACCACTAGAGGAAAACACATGAATATGATGTGGGTACACAGTGGACTGGCAAGAACATTTACTATTAAACATTTCTCTTCTAGATTTAACACAGCAAGAAATTTATTTTTTTACATAAAATGCTGATACATTTACAGCATTAGAGACTAAAAGATCTCATTTGACCTTTAAAAGGTACTGCAGCCCTCTATACACAGGTGGTATACTGCAGTGGGGAACAATGCACAATATTGGCACCGATATATTATGCAGATAAACACAAGATGCCAGAGCTAAGTGTTTTCCTTTACAATTGTGGAGAGTCATTACAGCAGACATGGAGCCATGTTGGGGCTTTATTTACTGTATGACTAGAGAAGAGCACTCTGTGAGATTTCTGTGTGCTTTTAAGAATCTCAGCATCTCTCATACACACAGCTCAACGAGCTCTGCATTAATTATGTTTTTAAAGAGGAGCTTTGCATTTTAAAAGCACAGACTCCAGAAGAGTGAGAATTTCACAAAGTGAACAATGTGAAATTCCCCAGGGTTTTGCAACCACTGTCTGCTGAGGAGGACGATGAATGAAAATACTATCTTACCAAATCACCTGTAAAGAGAACCCAGGTGTGATTTTACACTAAAGGTTGAGACTGCTAATCAGAATAAATGGAATGAAATACTTTCCTTCAAGAAATCTCAATTCGATCATTTTAAGCATGACAATAGAAAGTCCCTGTGTATTTACCTGCCTTCAAAGTCTCACAAAGCTCATAGTGCTGTGCATGTGTGCCTTTACAAGATCAGATCACTTTTTTGGCCATATACATTTTTCTGCATTAGGAATTTGTCTTCTTACATACCCCAACTTGCTCTCCATGAGTCACATGCACACAGACAGGGAGAGAGAAGCTTGGGGTCAGATTGCAGGGTAACCCATTTATACAGCACCCCTGGAGCAGTTGGGGTTGAGAGCCTTGCTCAGGGGCCCAACAGAGTAGGATTCCTCTACCAAAAGCGGGATTTGAACCAACAACTTTCCGGCCACAGGCACAGATCCTTAGCCACAGAGCCACCACTCCCCACAGTACTTCAGCAAGAGAACACACTGGGCAGGAATGTTCCACTGAAACCAATATGATTCTGCAAATTATTCAGCAAATCTTCCTAAAATTACTCTTCATCAGAAGAACAGAGCACATAAGGCTGTTTTGTGTAAAGTGCTATGGGTTCCACTGGGATGAAAAGTGCTATACAAACACAAGAAATTATTGTTAAAAGTTACTGTGACATTCATTTCTATTTTTTATGAGTTTATGTGCTGCAGTCAGTATTTTTCCCCTAACAAACTCACGTCTTACCTCACAGGCAATTCCCAAATTAACTGGAAAGATGCTTAAGTTTGCAGAAAGCCGGGCTGAGGTTGTAATGACTGACAGATACTTTAGGGGAAATTCACTTTCAGGGCTGAAAAGGAAATTAGTGGCTGTCAGAACATTGTCACAAGCAGCAACATTTGAGTTTGTACTAATTTATAGGTCTGGGAGAAAGGTCAAGATACATAATTTTTTTCTGAAGGTGACTTTTATGTTCCATTCTCTATGGAACTGAAAATTGACCAGTTTATACCCCAGAGATGACCAACCCTGGCTCTGGAAAACTACAGGCCTGCTGATCTTATAGATTACTCCTATTGTCAATATGTATTTACAGGGCTGTCAAAGTAGAATTCTTCAAAGGATTTACATGTATGAGATGTACACATCCAGAAACTCCCAACAATGCTATGTAACCAAGTAATATTACATTATTATACCTATTACATTACCATTTATAATGCAGAACACAGATAAACAAAAGTAACATTTTTACTGTAATACAGTCACAAATAAGGGGAAAGCACTGTGCATATCTAGCCCATTTGGGAGCTAGTAGCTAGTTCATCCCAGGACCTCATCCATCCATTTCTTGAAGGAAGCCAGGTTATCAGCTTCAGCAACATGGCTCGATGGCTTGTTCCATATGTCCACTTTGAGTAAAGACGTTCTCAGCTTTACGTTCACGCAATTTCTACCTGTGTCCTCTTGTTCATGTTTCAGTGTTAATTCTAAAGAAGTCTACTACATTAACCTTATCAGTGATAATAACAAACCCCTCAAGGTCCCCTCATAGTCTTTAACATAATATCTCGATTTAAATTCTACACTTGACTACATACTAACGTTTTGTTTTCGATTGATTCCCTACATTGCCTAGAAGATACCACTGATGCATCAACAGAAACATGGAAGTCTTTAAGAACTACAGTAGCAAATTCTCAATCCAAACACATAGATTTCCCCGAGAGCCTCATGCCTTTGAGAAATTATCTTTTACAAAAGCCTTCTGACAATCTAAATACATGCATATCCAGTACAGCTATGGTGTGTTCAAGGATATCCAACAGGTTGGTTAGGAAAGATCTACCTTGTTTAAATGTGGACTAACCCCTAGAACATTATTTCCACATAGATTATTCACTGGTTTAGCTCTAATGATTGTTTTCTAAACCTTACCTGTGACAGAAGTTAGACTTTGTGATCTACAATTACTTGGGTCAGTTATGTCATCCTTCGTACGCATGGGTACTGCATCTGTAAATCTCCAGTCCATGGGCACTACCCTGTCCTGAGCTGACAGCTCTGTACATTTGGTGTAAAGGCTTCTGGTGGTATTTGTGACAGACCTGTGAGCAGGATGTGTGAGAGGATTTTGACTTAAAAAACAACAGACATATGCATGGAGTCATAGGCAAAAAAGGTTTAAAAAATCAGTCACCTTTTATTTGCAGACTAAGAAACTCGAAAAAAAAAACACACATGCAAAAAACTCAGTTCTTCTTTGAGGTCCATCTACACTTCCTTTTTTTTCCACCAACACTGTTCCAAACAATTCTTCTCATAACTCAAAGTTCCCCAAACCCTCTACCTTACACTAGATCTCTCTCTGAAATTATTCGCAAAACTCCTCATCCTTCAGCTGCTTCTTTGATCCCCTCTCCCTCTCTCTCCGATCCACCATATCTCAGAGGCTCTTCTTCCCTCATGTACAGCACAAGGTGACAGCCATCCCAGAAGTCTCAGCTGCCTGGTTTAAAATGTCACCTAACCAATGGTCATCCAGGCATTGGTCAGGTGACTGAGGACAGCAGGTGACTCCCCATAGCTTCTTGGGACGTTGTAGTTTAACAAGATCTTCTTCTCTCTTATACATTTTATACATTTTGCCCCTTGAGCAAAGGTACTCTGATCCCAGGTGTACAAAACAAATATGGAGTTAGTAATTTCCCGGCAAACAGAGTGGCTACACTACAAGGAGTTGTTCTGAAGCATGCAGGTAGTGGAGTGGGTTCAGTGCATGCTTTTAAATCTCTGAGAGCTTTTTTTATTTTGGATGTCCATCATGGCACCAACATAAAAACCAGCAATGTCAAGGCCTGGTTACATTTGTTCCAGGTAGCATTAATGTTTAAATCTGTTCTTGCTAATTCACCCTAACTTGTTACATCAGTTCATGTCCAGACCAGAGGTCATTGGAAATTCGGGTCTCATCTTAATTTTCAGACCATTTTAGGAAGGACACTTGTTATTAAAAATATGAATGTAGCATAGAAAAGACATCTTTATAACTGTATGTAAATGTAGAGCAGGAAACTTGAATAAATTTCGTTATTAAGAAAAATCCTGCTGCAAACAGGATGCACCCTTTGAGACAATAATTTTCTCAAATACACTAGATTGAACTGAAACTTATACATTGAAATACAGTTATTTGAAGAACCCGACAAATACTGCGAAGGTAAGGATCATGGGGCGCTAAACTAGTGTAGCTTGTGAAACACTGCTGCCCTCTTGTGGTATTAAGCTGTAATAGACGTGCAATTAGTCTCTAAAGAACAGCAACGGAAACACTACCTCTCATATTGTTCTTGGAAGAAATCACAATAATACAAACAGGATATCTTTCCAAACCTTTTTGAGACAAATAAAAAAGTTTGTAATCTTCAAGACAACATTTCATAATGTCTGGATAATTTCCCCACAACAAAGTTTTGGGTATATAAGCTGATGCCAGCAGCCATACCACCCTGCAACTCAAACTGGCAACCCCCTGAAGCTCAGCAGGTGTGAGCCTGGTCAGTACCTGGATGTGAGACCTCCTGGGAAAAACTAAGGTTGCTGCTGGAAGAGGTGTTAGTGGGGCCAGCAGGGGGCGCTCACCCTGCAGTCCACGTGGGTCCTAATGCCCCAGTATAGTGACAGGGACACTATACTGTAAACAGGCCCCGTCCATTGGATGAGATGTAAAACTGAGGTGCTGACTCTCTGTGGTCATTAAAAATCCCAGGGCGTTTCTCGAAAAGAGTAGGGGTGTAACCCTGATGTCCTGGCCAAATTTCCCATTGGCCCTTACCAATAATCCCCCTCTATGAATTGGCTCCTCCCCACTGACAGCATCATCCAGGTGGGGACTACACATTGGTGGTGGTGGAGGGGAGTCCCCATTACCTGTAAAGTGCTTTGAGTGGAGTGCCCAGAAAAGAACTATATAAGTGTAAGCAATTATTATTAGATTTTTTAAACTCTAATAATTTTTAGGTTTTTGTGTTTAGTTGATATGAAAAGCTCATAAAAACAATTAAATAATTTCACCGCAGAGCAAGTTGGATCTATCTCTCTCACCACGTACAACCTGATGTATTTGTTTGATATGTCCAGTGGATGTTTAAATGTGCTGCTTTAATGGAAACTGTCCATGCATCTAGATGCAAAGAGCTAAATACACGATAAACTCAATTTTCACTTTAAAAACAAAAAGTGCCTGGAAATATACTGTATCCCAACAGAATGGATTAGTCTAAATGTACTTTCACAAAAAGTTCTTACTTGAACTTCAGTCTAAATTGAAAATCTTGGGGGTGATATGTGATTCAGGCTTGACATTTGACCCACATGTGCAATATATTGTCAAAACATCCTTCTTTTTCCTCTAAAATATCACCAGACTACATCCTATGTTATCACTTACTGTAGCTGAAAAGCTGATCAACACGTTTGTCTTCTCCTGAATTGACTACTGTAATGCTCTACTCGCTGGGGTTTCTAAATCCACATTGACCAGGTCCAATGACTCCTATCCTGGAGTCCTTGCACTGGCTTCCTGTCAAGTTTCGAGTCGACATCAAAATACTCATGCTCACCTGTAAGGCTCTGCATGGCTTGGTACCTCAGTACCTGTCTGAGCTATTATCGCCCTACTCCCCACCTCGCAACCTTCACTCTTCTAATTCTGGTCTCCTAACTGTCCCCCAAGCCCGTCTACACTCTATGGGTGACAGGGCCTTCTCCTGTTCTAACCCCAAGCTCTAGAATTCTATCCCCAAGAATATGAGAGTCACCTTCTCTAAACTCCTTCAAATCCAAACTCAAAACGTTCTTCTTTAGAAGTGCCTTTACTTTACTTAACTGTTTCTGTTCTTTACCCCTCTGCTCCTACTGTATTCAATATCCACCATCTACTGGCTCCTCTCATTGTGCATTTCTTGTGTACTTTTTATTGTTGTTGTCGTTCTGAAAAGCGGTTTGAGAAGTCATCTTTAAAGGCGCTATATAAAATAGTTTTTTATTAAAAAAATAAACAGTCGTCAATTAGCGCCACCTGGTGGTCTCTTGAGAGATGTTAAATTTGCTTCTAACCGTTGAGCCCAGTACATCAGACCAAGCTCATTGAGCAGAATTACATACATTACTCCAACATAGTACCGCAACCGTTGGAGGAATCTGAAGACCACCTAGACATAATCAAACACCAAATTCTTCGTACAGGATTAATATAAACAAAACGCCATGATTTAATAATGATACACTATTTAACCTTAAAATAAGCGAAAGCGGCTTCTCAACCAGGAATTCACAGCGTGACTCTCCTTTGAAGGAGAAGGTGACAACTAAAAATCCTTGCTGACTAACACTTCCTACATAACAGCCGCTGGGTTATTTCTCCCCCGCAGATAGCGATTCAGGCATTTAGGACTGGGGAGGTTTACCAATAGCGCAAGGTTTGTACACCTCTACACCGTTTCCTCGCCACATTCAAATCGTCCAACCAAATCTCGCTCTTTCAAGGTCCCGCGAACGTCATGACGAAGATATCAAACTCTCGCGATATTTCATGTCAAGGCTTTTGGTAGGGAGTTTCGATATCCCTTCTTATATTACACGTTTTCACAACCGGAAAGGTAACAGGGCAGCCATATTGCTGCGGTATGATTTCGCTTAGAGAGTTACAGTAGGTAACATGACCAAAACGCTGATGGCCTTACATTATGCAATATATATTCAGTCAAAAGCAGTAAATGCAAACAAGTTCATTTTGTACGTCTGAACATTTGACATTGGTTTTACACATTACCGTCACTAAAGTGCCTGCCTAACGTTATGTAGCTTGTGCTATCCCTCTTGTGGGTCTTACCCAGGTACAATTAAGCTAAATGTAAATCGAGGACCGTGAGCATTTCAATTTGTATCTAAGCTGATATTCTGTTTACGTCAATACTTTTCCAAATCTTCAAAATGCATCTGTCCAAACGTCACCTTTAGATACTATTTACTTTTAATGTATTAATTTCTACTACATTTTTTATCGACCTTATCTTTTATTCTCCCAAGTATACCTTACACGTGTTCTAATCCATTAAGTGGACCTACTGTTCTGGTTATCATTTCGATTGTTTGAATTTAAGTGCATTGGTAATTCAAGAACCATTAGCGATTTAAACGAAGGGCCTTTCTTCGGGGTGTAACAGCAGCGTAAACCAAGGATTTGAAACCAGAACTCTCAAATCCACAGCGATCATTACCGCCAGCAATTTCTGCCCTGTTGCAGTCATTTTTACACACAAAAAGACGTGGTCACAATGACAGATGATGGAGGTCCAGTTATTTTGACTTGGTGATTTAATGTAGGACTGTGAGAAACTTTTTTTTCCCCTCAAAATTCAGATTTTCGTGTTACCAAGACCACATAAATTACCCGATCGATCTGTAGCTATCCATGACTCAAAACTCTCTGCTCATATATATTCTTCTTGTATTTCATGCATTGATTCATTTGTGTATATAAAAGTGGGTATTGTTTTATTTAGCAGATCACCGTGCACGTTAATTCGATTCTACATTACAAGGCTAAACTGTATTCTATAAGACTGTCTTATATTTATCGTCATTATTTTTTGACGTTAGACCTTAAGGTAGATATAAAAATAACAAGGAGAATGCCCTGAATCTCGGTGAGCATCCCCTCCTCGTGTTGAATGAGTTTTTTTTTTCCTGGAAGAAAAACAACTGAATAGTAATATCGTGAAACTATATAATTCATGTGCATTAAATTGTAACCACTGTATTTTAATTTTTCGCCCTCCTTCTTCCATTACCCCGCATTAAAACTCGTTGTTCTCCAATACCAGACATTTCACAAAATCAAAACATTTCAATCACTTTAGAACATTTCACTAATACAATACCTTCGGGAAAAGAAAACTTTACAAGCCGTACTGTACTTCTGAAGCTCAAGGCTCCCTGTTTTGTGCAGCCATGCTACCCTCTGTCCGTGATCGACTTAAAATGGGTGTATTTTGAAACACGTGGTGGCCAAACACTAGAAGCACATGGGACGCCACTGTTTCACTCCCATTGGGTGTCTGAAAATGGGATTTGCTTGCGGGTGGATATTATGTATTTACTGAAAAGAATAGCCGTTCCTATGTATGTTACACTTTGCGTTTTTACTTTGTGTTTTTGAAGTATCACTAAAAACTTGTTAGAGCTCATGTGCACTTTAAAGTCACATGGGTGGCCGGCACTTTAGGTTTAATGGGCTGTGAACGGAACTCGAGATACCGGTACAATCCACCGAGAAGTCCAGTACACAAAATAAAGTTAATATTTTAACAGGTTTTATCGTATTTAAATTGGAAGTTTTTTTCTCATTCATAGTTTCAACTAAATGCCAAATGGTTCGATGAAATTGAAGCTTAAAAATATGTTTCTCTATTTAAAAAAAACAAACAAATTATATCAATCCAGACACGAGTATACACCTATACAAATTTCACACTAAAAATACATATTACGAATACTGTGCAGTACTAACTAAATCCACTCTCGTCTCTTCAGGGCTCGGACAAGCGCGTTCACGAAAACCCCAGAAGCCGAGCGCGATGCAAATTCCTGCGACCCGATTGGCCAAGAAATAACACGTGGGCGTGGAAGGTGGAACGCGCACAACAGTAAAGCACCTCGCGCTTCTTCCTGCGAGTCCGTCTTTCTCGTCTCAGCGCCTCACCGAAGAGCAGGGTTAGGCCACGTGTGGAGCAGTGATTAAAACTTGCATTAGCTTTTTCGTTTTCCCGATCGATCTTAGTCGAGTAAACAACCCCGCAGACAGTCAAGATGGTGAAACTGGCGAAGGTAAGATGTGATTTTCATCGCCGATTTCAAAATATAAAGTTCGAGGCGATGGGTTTGATGTACAAAATGGCACTGGAGATGTGAGATTTTGTTCCTTTCGGTTTGCCTTGCCCGAGCATTTTTTTTGCAGCGGATGAATGTTTTTTTTTTATGATTATGCGGGTGCAGTCGTGTTTTGGGGGTAACGTAGGGGGTTATTAGTTTCCGGATGAAAGACGGAGCACAATGGAAGTGCGTTTTGGTGCCTGTTCAAGCCGACCCAGATTTCGAGTAATCAGCCATGTTTTTCTGCGTGGTGAACTCTTGTTTCTCAAAATGGCCATGCCTGCGCATTCGCCTGCGAGCGCGGAAGCTGTTTTTTTGGTTTATCGCCTTACTTGATTACATTTGGGTCTTGTTTGAAGCAGTAACTCCTCTTAAATGTAAAATATAACTCCTAGCAGCGTGAGCGCTTTGCAATTTTGGTAAAAAAAGGAACTTTCCAATTTGGTTGCGCTTTTATATTATGATGTGGGGAAAGAAACAGACGACTGTTTCTTAATTGCTTTATTTCTGTTAATGATTAGAACCGTGATCGTGCTATATGTAGTTTTTCCATTTATGTTTATTTCGGGTTTGTATTAGCTGGATATAGTTACATATGACTAGGCCTCGCGGAGCACCACGTGGGTTTTCAGCGTGGAGCCATCACGCAGTCACCACGACGTGTGTCCGTCGAGCGGTTTAGACATTAGTAGTTGGACATTGCAGGCTGTGTGCTGAACATTACCTTTTTTGTTTTTATTTTTAACTATTTTGAGAAATTTAGATTCTAAACATGCTAGCAAAATAGTGTCTTAGAGAGGGAGCACGCTGTGGAGGGGACATGGCGGCGGCGGTGGTTTGTACTACACAAGCGTAGTTTTTTTTTCCGGTGACCCGACCATTTTCCAAGTATACAAGTACACAATTATTTCGATGTACAAACGGTTACAATATTTTTTGACACCCCAAGGCGATAAACAGTTTTTTTGCGGCCTATGAATAAACAGCGGATACCCCGCTGGGTAGTCATGCTTCATATGAAGTGGGTTTTTTTTTCTTATTTTAGGCAGCGAAAAAACCGACAACTACCCCTAAGAAAAAGGCCCCACCGCCCCCTAAAGACGTGGACTCCAATGAAGAAGAGGACAGCAGTGAAGAGGAAAACGAAGAGGTAAGAGCGACCGAGACTCGCCGCAACACGTGGGCTGAGGGTCGCGCTGTGTCAGCGTGGAGCCAAACCGGAGGTCGTGTCCTACACGTGCTTGTGCGATTCGGACCCTCTTGTTTTGGAGTTGGTGGTTTCGCTGGAAGGTGTAAGGTCTCTTTGGACAGTGACCCGTGTCCTAAAACGGGGTTCGACTGGGAAACCCAATACCGGTTTAACAAAGGGCATTTCTTTGTGCAGAAAGGGGAATCATGTTTTTTTTTTTTCCTTTCGGCTTCAGGTACCTCCCCCAAAAGCCAGCGCCAAGAAGGCAGCCACGCCAGCTAAAGTAACGAAAGCCGCCAAAAATGGCAAAGTGGCACAGAAGCAGGAAAGTGATGAAGACGATGGTAAGTGATGAAACGCGTCTGGGAGCCTTCATCTTTCACTCCATGCATGTTATAGGGTGAAGTGGAAGTGCAAAGATCTGGACAGAGGCTGTTGCATTTGTTGTCAACCACCAGGTTTCTAAAAATGGTGTCAACCATGTCGGAAATAACCAAAAGCCAGTGTTTGGCAGGATTTAGTTCTTAACCTACAAGATGCTAGCTGCAGTGAGTGTTAATTAAGGAATTGGAAATGCCCAAATCTTAAATCAGCATTTAGATGCCAGCAATACACTTATCACTATTATACGAAGCGTAGTTAATATTTTGAAGTGTTGTGTGGAGTATAAAGATGGTTCCACTCAGTTGTTCCTTCTTTGTAGAGGCTTAGGAAGCTGATATACTTGCCTTTGTTGAGCCAGAAGGACAATATATTTTGAACCCCACTGCTCTGAGGTTTGCATTGGGGGGGAGGTATTCCCTTTTAGTTCAAAATGTTTTTTTTTTCTGAACGGGGGAATTTCAGCTGTGATATTCCCCTGTATTTGGTCCTGAGTACAGTATGCTGGATTAACTCTTGCGTAATGTGATGCTCTTCAGAGGAAGATGCCCCCCCAGTCCCCGCCAAGGGCAAGGCCGCCAAGGGCAAGGCGGCGCCCCTGAAAAAAGCCGCCAAAGCTAAGAAACAAGAATCGGAGGAGGAGGATGACGATGGTATGATCAGTCACGGTGACTTTCTAGCTGTCAATAACATCCCAGCAATAGTCTTAAGAGGGCAAGGGTGGCTCGCCAGTGTTTGGCAAGGAGCTGGGGAGAGGAAGTTAGATCTCTGGGTTCATGGTTTTAGATCCTGGATGGAGCACTGCTGTTGGACCCTTCGGTAGAGATGAGCAATATAAATGTTGTCCAGGTGGCATTTGTCCCCAGGAAGGGCCTTTTTGGGCTGGTTGCTGGCTAGGCCTCCACCCCTCTTCAGACCTTGACTTGGGGCTCGCTGACATCCCTGCCGGGGCCCTGATCTTAAACCTGCTCGGGCCGGTCCGAAGCCCGGGAGACTCCTAACCTGTTCTGTTGTCGCAGATGACGAGTCGGAGGAAGAAGCCCCCCCACCCAAGAAGGCCACCCCAGCAAAAGCCACCCCTGCCAAAAAGGCCGCCCCCGCCAAGAAGCAGGAGTCCGAGGAGGAGGAGGACGATGATGAAGATGGTGAGTGACGGTGCAGTGATTCAGGGAGGGGGTTTAATAGCCTGGGGTGGTCTTGAGTTTCCAAGGCACTTGAGTGTGTAGGGAAAAATGGCCTCTTCCCTCCCCGCCTGCAGATCTTTTTAAGCTACTTAATTGATTTACTTAATTAAAATCTTCTTGGGTCCTGTTTTATTTGGCGGTGGTTCAGTTAGCTTAGCGCTCTGCTGGAGTCAAAACAGGAGGGTGGGATCGTGGATATGCAGAAACCCGGTAGGCTTACCATATCCTGAAGGTGCTGCCAATACAGAGGTGTGCCTTCAATGCACAATGCAGTTGTTATAATCACATTGTGTATTTTAGAACCTCCCTAGTTCAGAGGGAGTGAAACAGAGGGCAGTGAAACAGTTTGGTGCTTTCTGGTGATCACAGATGTACCCTAGTTGTCACTCGTCAGAAAGCTATACTTTTAGGAACATTAAGTTCTTGAATCCTTGTATCTGGTCCGAAGCCCGGGAGACTCTTAACCTGTTCTGTTGTCACAGATGACGAGTCGGAGGAAGAAGCCCCCCCACCCAAGAAGGCCACCCCAGCAAAAGCCACCCCTGCCAAAAAGGCCGCCCCCGCCAAGAAGCAGGAGTCCGAGGAAGAGGATGAAGATGGTGAGTGGTCTTGTGGGAATTGCATAGGTGGAGAACAGTTCAATGCTATTGAAAAGCTTTGTGCATGCAGAAAAATTGCTTGTGATTTTTTTTTAATGAACCTGTTGAAAGCAGTTTTAGGACAAATGTGCAAACTCAATATTTAAAGGAATAATGGCTAAGGTTTGAGTTTTCCCCAGATATGATGTTCCTGGCTCTCCGGCGGGTTTGTGCTTTCTGTGTTGATTAAATATGCAAGTCTGAGTTTAAGAGAAGAAGGCTCTGACCTTTTTGTTCCCCTGGTGCAGATGAAGAATCTGAGGAAGAGGCCCCTCCACCCAAAAAGGCCACTCAGGCAAAGTCTACCCCTGCAAAAAAGACCACCCTAGCCAAGAAGGAAGAGTCAGAGGAGGAGGATGATGAAGAAGATGATGAAGAAGATGGTGAGGGTTGTTTTGTTACATTTCAGAGCTGAAGGACAGTCTTACCTAGAAACTTCAGGCTTTATCGGATGTATAAGTTGTCACGACAATGCAGGGCTTCTTACGTATTTGTTGCAAGGTCTGCAGATGTTGAGCTATGTTAAACTGTTTGCCAGCGGTATGTGTTTAAGATTATACAAAGGGTTGCAACCAGATTATGCAAGTTGGAATTGCAGCAAGCACATATGATGAGCATTAAGGGACTTAATACTGAGTTGAGTACTTGATGTCTTTTTTTCCATACTGATGTGCTTGAAAATATGCAATTGGGTGGTATTTCTAGAGATCTCCCGTCAAACCAGACATTTAAGCTCCTGACAGTGGAATTTAAAGTAGTGTGATGATTGGTATGGGCTTGGTGCGAGGCTGGGGAGAGTGTACCAGTGAGGCAGCACTAACTTGTCCAGTGGAACAGTGGAAATGAGCACGTTGTGGTTTTCATTCCGTTTTAAAGACTCAGAAGTCGAGCAGATGGACACGACTCCGGCTTCCGCTGCTAAGGCAAAGAAAGCTGGTATGGTGAAAGCAAAGGAGGAGTCTGAAGAAGAGGACGATGAGGAGGACGACGACGACGAAGAGGACGATGAAGACGAGGAGAGTGATGAGGAAGGTGAGTTCAAAGCCCAAATCTCTAGTGTGTTGAGAACTGAGGAGTGAACGGCTGGACCTCAACCTGCAACTAAAGGCCCGTTTGTAACTTGTGTTAGCGCTTATTTTGTCTTTACGTTGTTCTGAAAATGTATGCGGCTGTGATTGTTTGCCTTTCCTGTTTGAGACCACATATGTGTAACTGGACTGTTTTTCAGAGCCTGCTCAGACTCCCGGGAAGAGGAAGAAGCCAGAGCCAAAAAAGAAGGAGACCCCACCTGCCAAGAAGGCAAAATCTGAGCAAGAAGGTTAGTAAAGATCTTGGTGTCCAGCTCAGCTAATCAGAACGTCTCCCTTGTTCCCCAAGATAGAACATAAAATTTTATGTTTTGTCTTCAGTGGTTGTGCACTATTTAAATCCCATTCTATTGAAACGTGAGGATATAAATCTTATTTTGTAAATTAGCCTTTTTTTTTACTTGGGGAAACTAAATTGGCCAAAGACGTGTTTAAAAGAGAGCCCTCGTGACAAACCCCAATAGTGCTGAATATTGTATAATTCCATTCACCTCTGGAACAGGGTGGCAGGGGCTTGTCATAGGATACTCAGTGCTTATAAGAAAAGTTGGGGGGGGGGGTGAAGATCCAGTCTGGTTAGCCACTGGGCTTGGTTTTCATGCTAAGCAATATTGAATGTAACTAATTTCTTTTTTTTAATTATAATTTTTTTTAGGCTTATCTGCTTTTGTCGGAAACCTCAATTCGGATAAAAACTTTGATGAACTCAAGGAGGCTTTGGGCAATTTCTTTTCCAAGAACAACCTCCAAGCCCAGGATGTCCGAATTGCCTACAGCAAGTGAGTACACAGGTTTCTGTAGATGTTTGTGTGGCTTGTCAGATCATTGTAATTTTAATGTTTGTGCTTTACTTGGTGCCAAGTAAGCTCAATAGTTGAGCTAACTATTGCCGGTGTTTTCCTTTAGGAAATTTGGCTATGTTGATTTTGCTACTGAAGAGGATCTGCAGAAGGCTTTGGAACTGAATGGGAAAAAGCTTCTGGGTTTGGAGCTCAGAGTGGACAGGGCAAGGAGCAAGCAGAATGCCCAGCAAGACCGAGATGGTAAGTTTTTTTTTTAAACTGTGAAAACGTCAATATAACCATGTAGCCTCCTTTTATCAGCCTTAAATGCCACTTCTGCTTTCTGCTTGTCCTTTTGTTTGTTGATGTGTGACATTAAATAATTTGAAATTAGGTGACTTTCCCAGAAACGTCTTTAAAGAAAAAGGTGTAAAGCTAACCCTTGATGATGACGTGAAAGGTTGTGACCACAAAGGTTGGTCCAGTTGCTTGACACCAGTGGGATGAGCCTGCTAATGCACTTTGACATCACTGCAGCTGTGCAAACATCATCAGAATCATGAGATCTAGTGACACTGCGGATGTCAGAGAGGCCCTGTGTTCAAACATTGGTAATCATTGGCTCGGTAATGACATCCCATTCCCCTACAAAGCAAATGGTCTTTTCTCTACCTGAGCATAGGACTATTCTGAAAGGTTCAGCATTCATGGTGTAATCTGTCCATGGAATGGGAAAGTCCATCCTGGTCTATTCGAATCACTCGTTGGTGTAATTTTCCTTTGCTCATTGAGGAGTTACTTCTAGACTAGGAGTGTCCAAGAAAGTTCCTGGTCTGTGGTGGAGGTTAGGAGCTGACTGGTCACTGGCCCCTTACCGGTTCCGTTTTTGTTTTTCTTCTGGCAGAGAGGGACTCGCGCACCTTGTTTGCGAAGAACCTTCCTTTCTCCATCACACAGGAGGAGCTGAGAGAAGTATTTCAGCAGGCGGTCGACATCAGACTACTGACTGCCAAGGATGGCTCCAGCAAAGGGTATGTGTGTTTCTCAGCTTGGCTTCAGGTGCTTGTCAATGTATGGTCTTTGGTATCAAGGGGTCTGGGTGCCACTAAATGGATGGATGGGTGGAGTCGGCCCGAGATGAATTTATAGTTCCTTTTTACGTGCAGGGCTTTCTTACGTACTCGCACAGCAGACCCACCTCCAGTTTTTTTTAAGGGTACTTTGCAGCTGGTTGTGTGTATTTGAAACTCTTATTAAATTAACCTTGAGGGTAAGAAACTGACACAGGGGCTGTACTTGTACATGAGAATTCAAGCGTTTGCCTTTTGGTTGCAGAATTGCTTATATAGAATTCGAGACGGAAGCCGTTGCCGAGAAGGTCCTGGAAGAGAAGCAAGGAGCCGATGTCCAGGGCCGCTCAATCATCTTGGATTACTCTGGGAAGAAAAGCCAGAAGGGGCCCAGGATGTCAGGTGAGCACCGAGAACTCGAATACTTTGCTGTACAAAGTCTTCAAACATCGTCTCAGAAAAGCAAATGGATTGGCTTTGTTTTCTGCTGATAATTTAGTTCTGAAATGCGTCTTCTACAAGAACTTGCCTCATAGTAATTTCTCTTGGGCATTGAGCATGGTTCTGGGTGGTAAGCAGCATTTAGAAATCTTTGGGCTTTACTCTTACAATTGAGCTCTGAAACATGTGAAACGTAGGGGATGTTTCAGCTTCTTTTCTGGACTAGAAATGATGAATTAAGACTCTGAGAAACCATGACGAGTTTATTTTTAGATAGTCAAGTACTGATCTAGTCCTTACATTTGTACTTCATGTAGTTTAAAAGGGGGTGAAAGAGTGCTGATCCTTTCTTCTCTACATTTCCAGAAAACATGGCTGGCAAGACACTTGTAGTCAATAACCTAGCCTACAGTGCAACAGAAGAGTCACTCCAGAGCACATTCGAGAAAGCAATTGCTGTCCGAGTTCCACAGAACAATGGCAGAGCAAAAGGGTAAGTAGAGTACCGTTTTGAGCTTAATGTACTGATTTTGTGATTAAATATACATATGCGTCAGATACCAGACCTGTATTCCTGCTCTCCAGAAAAAAAGACTGTGCTCATGTGATCTTTTTCTTTCTATCCAATCCATATAAAGATACGCATTTATAGATTTTGAGAACGCTGAGGATGCCAAGGAAGCCCTTGAAATGCACAACAACACCGATATTGAAGGCAGGACAATCAGACTAGAGTACAGCAAGCTTGCACAGAAATCGGACGGTGGCCGAGGGAGCTCTGGTAAGCACTTCTTCCCTGGCGTTTGGGCGATTAATGCCGAATTGCTGAGAATACCAACTCTTCATGTAGTGTGCGGTGAGTTTGGTCAGTCTCTTTAAATGTTTCTCTTTGGACATTCAGGCCCCACCAAGACGCTTTTTGTCAGAGGTCTTTCTGAGGACACAACAGACCAGACTTTGAAAGACTCATTTGAAGGCTCTGTTGCAGCCAGGATAGTCACAGACAAGGATGGATCCTCAAAAGGGTACGTTTTCTTCAGTGACATCCGTTGTCTTGGGAGCACAGCATCTCGACGTCTTTTAGAACTTTTTCTGAACGGGGGTGGAACTGAAGTGGTTCTCTTCTCATGAGCTCCTCTCTTGTCTGGTTGGTGACAGAGTACGGATTCGCAAGAGAAGTAAACCAAACACAATTTGACCTCCCAGCTTCCCCTGCCTTGCGGGGAAATGCTCTCTAGGTCTATTGTGACACGTGTATTAACTTGAGGATAACGTCGGTGTGATTTCCTGAACTTCTAGGTAGTCTAGGATGTGTTTTCCAAACCTCCACCTGCAGGTAAGGGGAAGAATTCGCGCAGATGGTAGTTAAGGAGTTCCATAAAACAGTGGGGAGTGCTTTGTTTCAGTGCCGTGGGAAGAGAACGTTTGTGGGTAAGCACGGAGGTCCTGTTCGGTGTTGTAACTTGGGCTTTTCCTGCCAGGTTCGGCTTTGTGGACTTTGACAGTGAGCAGGACTGCAAGGCCGCGAAGGAGGCGATGGAGGACTGCGAGATCGACGGGAGCAGGGTGACGCTGGACTACGCCAAGCCGAAGGGCGAGGGGCAGCGCGGCGGTGGCCGGGGAGGTTTTGGAGGGTTCGGGGGCCGAGGCGGCGGTGGCAGAGGAGGACGCGGAGGCTTCGGCAGAGGCGGCGGCTTCCGGGGCGGCCGTGGGGGCAATCGTGGTGGGTTTGGAGGTACGTAGAGAAATATGACTTTCAGTTCTTTCCCCATAACAATGCACAGTTCTCCTTTTGCTTTGTGCCCCCCGTCACCCTGTTTCAGTAGGAATTGTTCTTCAAAGTAAAAATTGGAATGGATGGGTTTCTTGTTAAGTACTGCTTGCTTCCAACCAATACTCTGGTCCTGGATGCACTTTGGTGGGCTTTTCATTTCTAACCCTTGGTGACACTAGCCCAAGGTCTAGTGAGCAGTCCTTGAGAAGAGAGGGCGGTCCCCGTCACTGTCTTAGAAGCAGGGTCTGCTGTGCTTCGGGACGGATATGGAAGTTTATCTGCGACCCCCCCCATCTTGTTTCCTTGGAAAGTGAGCTTTGTAGGATCTGCAGCTCGATTGTGGTTTAATGCTCGTGTCTGGTGTTGGTTGTCTGTTTCAGGAAGAGGCCGTGGATTCGGTGGAGTAAAGCCCCAGGGAAAGAAGACGACGTTTGACGATTAAACTTGTGTATATACGGTTGTTGTTTTTTTTTTTCAAATGGACTCTGTTTTCATTTTGATTACTTCTCTCAATGCGCTGACAGAGCCTTTGGACATTCCAGGAAGTAACAACTATATAAAATTATAAATGTGATGGACACCTTTGCCTTCCCTCGCCCCGTAGCTGAAGAGAGCTGTTTGAGCTCAGAGGTGTGCTGACTGCCCATGTTCATCTTCATTAACTTTTTCAAAGGGGTAAAATGGAATGCGACGCCCACCTGCACTGTGAAACATGGTGCCGGTCTAGGTACATACTGTACATGTACATGTGATTTGTATGACTTCATTTTACCTTTTGTAAAAAGTGTAGTTTCCGTATGTGTTTTTTTATTTCTTACTTTTTTTTTAGTTTGCTGTAAATGGAAAAGTTTTACCATAAGAAATGTTAAACAAATTGTAACGGGTGGAAGATTAAACAGACCCAGAGGAGTGTTTGGGTATTTAGATTCTCTGGTAGTTGCCTATGTGTGCTGTTTGGAAATGGCAAAGATTTGTTCAGTGAGTTTTGTTGATGTCCTTCAAGAGGAGCATACGTTTTCTGACGGTGGAGATCGGTTGTGGTCAGCAAAGACCATTCGTATTTCATCTTTCTCTCTTTAACATTAATAAATTGATATTTTCAATTGTCTCTTAATTACTGGTTGCCGCTTTACAAGTAGATGAGATGCCTTTTTACAGACACATTTGATAAAGGCCTTTTAAGATCTATCAACTGTTGGCCGTCGTCACAAGGGATTGTAACGAGCAGTAATGCTGTGCATGTTTTTTTAAATTTCACTTTTCATTTTAAATCAAATTGGTAAACCTTGATCCAACTGGGACAATTGTGGTGTGAATTTTTCACACTAATAAATTTTATATAAAATTTTTTGTGCTGTTTGATTTGTGATGTCAGTTCTGCCTCTAGGCTAATGTGGAATTAATGTAAACTGTTTTGTGGAAGAATGTTTTAAGTGAAGAGAATATGATGTTTGCCTTGGACGACTTAAGAGGTTTGGCCATTTCCTCAGGTTAATTCGTATATCTACGATTTGAGAGTAATGAATGTTTTGGTGTAGAAGGTTTCACTTACCGCGTGCATACTGTAGACTGGGAATAGGGTCTTGCATTACGTTTTCTGACTTTCACAATGATCCCTGAGATGATAAACGGGATGTAAGGTGGGGGGTAGTGTTTCCCGACTCAGTTCATTGTTCAGCTGACCTACCCCAGGTGAGAAGCTGTGGATTGGGTGAGAAATGGGCAGTAATAAAAGACTGAAACTATCTTTGACGGACCTTTTAGAGAACTATAGGACTTAATGAAAAGGCCCAGATGTGCCCATTTCCTGAATGCAAGACTGGTTAGAATTTCTAGCCGATTTGTTTCCTTCTTTCTTTAATGCAAATGGTCAGTCGTTTAATTGTTCAGACTATGCCAGTTACTTGGTAACCACTCCCTGAAATGAGACTAATGAATGTGCTGCTTTAAAATGGAAGTGATTTTGGTCATCAAAACGGTAAATTTGCATCTCTAAGGTGTACAGCCCATGGCCACAAGGTGGCACTTTAACTCAAGGTAAAGCAGTCGTTTCACATCCCTGTTCAACATCGTCAGCTGCTATTTTGAGCTACAAAGGACTGAATAATAATTGCTTATACTTATATTGCACTTTTCTGGACACCACTCAAAGCGCTTTATAGGTAATGGGGACGATGCGACGGCAGCCATAGTGCGCCAGAACGCTCACCACACATCAGCTATCAGTGGGGTTGAGAACAGAGTAATGAAGCCAATTCATAGATGGGGATTATTAGGAGGCCATGATTGGTAAGTGCCAATGGGAAATTTGGCCAGGACGCCGGGGTAACACCCCTACTCTTTTCAAGAAACACCCTGGGATTTTTAATGACCACAGAGAGTCAGGACCTCGGTTTTATGTCTCATCCGAAGGACGGCGCCTGTTTAAAGTATAGTGTCCCCGTCACTATACTGGGGCATTAGGACCCACGTGGAGTGTGGGGTAAGCGCCCCCTGCTGGCCTCACTAACACCTCTTCCAGCAGCAACCAAAGTTTTTCCCAGGAGGTCTCCCATCCAGGTACTGACCAGCCTCACACCTGCTTAGCTTCAGTGCCAGTTGTGAGTTGCAGGGTGATATGGCTGCTGAATGAACGAACTCCTTGAATGTGATTGAAAATGCATATCATTTTGAGCCTGAAGTTCTTGTGAAATATGACGGTGGATTCTTACATGGTTTTATTCACTGTTTAAAGCAAAAAGATTCATACATCATTTTCACAATAGAACAGTGGTTTGTGACACAAGATGGCAGTAAGGTCTTTAGCTTTTTTACAGGGCTGTTTGCTTTGAGTTTTAAACATAGTTCAATCCCAAATATCTGTGTGATGAACTGAGTTTAGAAACATTCATACAACAATTTTCAGTTATCTTCTGGTGGGGGGTGATTTAACATCATCCAGTTAATTTGTGAGTTCCTTACCACTTTTGTTTAGAATCCTAGTCCACACCCATTTCATGTTCAAGGGCAGATGCAAGAAAGCAAATTTAAAAAAAGGGTGGGTTTTGATCCTGAACCTGAGGGTGTTGAGTGAATATTGGTGGTATTGTTGGTTTTCCTCGTTTAGAATCCTAGTCCACACCCATTTCATGTTCTAGGGCAGATGCATGAAAGCAAATTTAAAAAAAGGGTGGGTTTTGATCCTGAACCTGAGGGTGTTGAGTGAATATTGGTGGTATTGTTGGTTTTCCTCGTTCCTCCTGTTGGTTAGTTGTACCAGGCTCCTCTTCTTACCTGGGAGGTGGAGTGATTTTCTGGGGAGGGGGATGGTGGCGTTCCTCTGGTCTGTTCAGATTCACAAAGAAAAGGCACCAGAGCACCAAGGAGACAGATGAAGGAGAGTAGTCCCATCATGTGATGTGTACTAGCAGCCTGGAGAGAACTTGTGAAGGAGACGGGCCTTGTCTGTCTTTTTCTGAAGCTGGTAACATCAAAGAATCAATTACCAAGAGCAAACAAAAAGCCTGACTCAACGCCTGCATTTCAAGTCGTCCTTCCTTCTTCCTCCCACATCAAGGCAAGGTAGTTTCACACTGAATAGGTCAGTTAGGAAGAGCCCGGAAGGAAAAGACACTTCTGTTTGGTGTTTATGGTCTCATGATACAGCCACTGATTAATGAGCCCACATAATGATCATTTTTAATAACATGAATTGAGATCATATAAAGAATGGCAAAACAGCACTCTTCCTTATCTTAAAGGTATAGTCTTCTCTGTAAACCTCAGGCTCTGGAGCTGTATTTTGGGTATAAAAGAAACATACTTTACCTTCCTCTGCCTTGCTTGCTGTAATGTGTAGTTTTCTAAAAGAAATGCCTTGGCATGCCTTTGTATACCAAGAATTGTTATATTCTTGAGAAGAGTAACAGCCATCTTCTGCTTTCAGTTGTCCTTCTTATTAGATTGCAAGACGGATTGTTTCCCTTTTTGACATGGAATTTTTTTGAAATCTAAAATAAGATTTTCGGGTATGAGGACAAACACAATTTTCAATAACATACTACTGAATTTGTCACTTTTGGTGAACAGTAGATTGATGGACAGGTTGATATTGCTATCTAGAGAATTGCATTATGAATGCCAGGTGGGTAAAAGAGAATTCTGCAAGTCCTGCTTACTTTGTGATCTGCATGGAATTTGTACACAGACGTTTGGGAGCAGGTCAGCTTCTGCTCTCCTGTGCATCAATATCTCGAACGAGTCGAATCTCACACACCCCTCCCTCCCACCAGCTTTTGTCCAGCCTCCAGTAGCTCTGGGTTTCAAGGGGAGGCCTCCTACTGGTGGGGTTGAAGGAAACCGGAGTCAATCTCTTTAAGGTGGGGAGGGGTTCCCCTTTCTGGCTTTTCTTTCTTTCTGGGGAGGGGAGGGGGTCTCCTTGCATATTTCTTGTTTTTAACCAAGGGTCTTCATCAGGTCAGTTTTTTAGGGCGTTCTTTTGCCTTTTGAGGGTGTGGTGTGTGGTGTGTAAAATGGGGAAGGCTTCAAAACTTTTTCTGGCTGAATTGCCTTTGATTTGAACTAACCTGTTAATTTAATCTGCTGAACGTTTTGCTCAAGGACACAAGTTACATCCAAACTCCCACCTCCTGAAAATTGCACTAGATGGATGTAGTACTTGATTTTCAGATTTTCAATAGGCAGAAGCAAGAGCCAATTGGCAAACAAAAAGTCGTCATTAAGTAGCAGCTTCTTTAAGTCCTGACTGGTGAATGGATTCAAGCTTTGGTCTGCAAGTATAGTTTGTTCCGTACCTTGAGGGTGAAATATTTCACTTTGTAGATCACCAATCTACTGTTGTATTGCAAATGATGTCGAGGTACATGACACTTAAAGCCTGCACATTGTCTTCAAGTAATGTAACCAAGGATTTTGAACATCATATCATTATATCAAATTCAATTAACTACCTTTATGTATGGACAATAACCTTAAACAATGTCTTGGAAATCAGGATAAATTTTAAATATCTTTATTTACAAACATTATTTTTCCTTAAACATCTTCAATTTTTACATTTATGTACACCATCCATATACAATACAGGTAATTTGTGAACTACTTAGTTATAATGATTTTATTCACAATTAAAGTATATAATAGAAAAATAACAGGCAGTATTATTTTCTCTTTCCAAAGTGTGATTCTGGAGACTGTCAAATTACCATATCCCAGGTATGTACCAGTATAATTAGAATTTGATTTATTCCGATTATCTTTTAACAGTTCCAAAATATTTTCATTTACTGCTTACATTAACATCTGTGCATTTGTGTAAGACTACTGAAATGTACAAATTTCACTAAATCTAAATATGAACGTTGAGGAACAAAAGCCCCTTATCCTGCTACATAAATATATATGAATAGATCTCAGAGGTAAACTATCGGCAAACTAAAGTAGAAATGCTACTGTAACTGACTGCAGGATTTCATAGAGTAATCTTGTATTCTCATTAGAGGCTCCACAACTTCCAAGATGTAACACTAAGAAAACAAACTTACACTATTAGTAACAAACTCGCATTACATTAGTGGAAAAACTTATACCCACCAAGTTAAAAAAACACCACATCCTTTTATAAAAAGAAAGAGACAAAAAGAGGAAATCAGTGAGGTAGTGACACTCTGTCCAGATGGCATAATGACAAGAGAAAGTTATGCCAATTAATATCTGTCACTTCAGAAGAAGTCATCAATTATTGAGCAGTTCATTTAGCCTTCCTGAAACGTCAAGTAATTCTGCTTTAATTATTTAATTCGTTTGTGTGGTTGTTATTTTCAAAAACAGGAATGAATGAAACCTTATGCATCCATCAATTTATCAGTCAAAAGTCAATTTGTTTTTACTTCAATAATGTCTTGTTGCTTCATTTATAAATGCATCTACATTTTTCCCTAGGGCAAAAAAACAAACTCCATTCTTTGAGGCGTGCTGCATAAGGAATTGGAACTGGAAATTAATTCCAGCTTCGTTCAACTGGATTGAGGTTAATGGAAGCGAGATGAATAAGAACAATTAAAGTTGAATGAAAATGAGTGTTGGAGCATCTCAGTGGACAGGCTCGCCGTTTTCAAATGCCATTGAATGATCCATTGCTGAAATACAGAAACTGTACACACGATTTTCGATACAGAATTCAAATTTCCCAAGAGCCGCTTTCTTCCCATGTATTCCATTACACGAGGTTTGCCCCCAGTACAGTACTTAAATTAACTAACTAAATTGTCCCAAGTCTTCTCCCAAAAAAGGGAGTACTCATCTTTGAATACGCTCAAATTTCCCACTTGCTCTGCCACCCCCCACCCCCCAGTGCAGTTTCTGTCACCCTAGGGCCCGTTCACTCTCCGGTGGAGTAGACTCAAGCGGCTATAAAATGTTTACTTTCCGGGAGCAAACGAGATTGCTGTTGACCAGCTTCCACATGCGCATGAGATCCGGAGGAAGCAACTTGTGGACCACGATCATACTTTTGAAAAAGCAGGGTTCTCTGTTCAGCTTGCTGCTCTTGTTCTTCACAAGCCCAAACGTCTTGAAGGCATTGTGCTTGACGGGAGTGACCCGCAGGACCTCGAGGCACATGCCGAGAAACACATCATCAATAGGATAGAGGTCCAAGGTTTCACAAGCTCCGAAGAGTCTCCTAGCCAGCGGCCCATCCATAAGGAAACCCCCACCACCTGCATAGGGTGGGTAGTGGGTTTTATTGTACAATGCCTGGGGGACGTAGTACTTATTCTCCTTTTTTCTAATGGGTTTGGCCTTGTACAGCACATCTCCTACGAAAAGGTTCCTTATCTTACTGCCATCCAGAAACTCCACAATGTTCTCGATGCTCACGAAAACGTCATCGTCCCCTTTGAATATGTAGTGCACATTCTCGCAGTAGGTGGAGAACCACTTGAGGAAGTGGACCTCCTTCAGGGTGAGGTTGAAGAAACTGTCCATGAAGTCCCACTGCAGGATGTCCCCGTATTTGTAATCTTCGTACTCCAGGAGCTTCTGGTGGTTGGCTTTCTCCTCCTCCTTGGAAGGGGCACCCAGGAGGAACAGTGTCTTGATTCTTTTGCCATTCGCCTCTTTCTCCCTGCCCCACGTCTTTCTGATGACCTCCCTGCGGTCGTACTGCGTGATGATGGACTTGACGACAATCAGGAGGTGGATTTCTCCCTTGCACTTCTCTGGGTGGTTGATGGTCATGGGGAAATACCTGCAGTGTCTGTAGAGCAGGAACTGCTTGAAATTGGACTCTAAGCCCCCAAACCACTCCATCTGCGTGAAGTTGAAGTTGGCAGTACAGTTGGTAGTGGTCACATCCCAGGTTCTTGGTGCTCTGGAGGCTGTGACTCTTGGCTTTTCTGTCGCGGACGCCTGCTTGCTTGCTTTCCAGAAGCCTTCCGTCCCAGGCAGCAGGCCCTTTTTCTGCATGTGGTGGACACCTTCGGAGAGCGACTCCTGCTTGGACGGGCTGTCCTCGCGAAACTGGGCTCCGCTGTACGTGCTGCCCCTCTGCAGCACAGTCAAAGTTATCACAGCGACAAAAAACATCAGACACGCCGTCTTGTATATTTTCCATCTGTCCCTGGTGGTCAGCCTAGAAGCAAGTGAAGAAAGAAAAACGATCCTAGTAGAGGTTATTGAAAAAAAACAGAACATGATATACAATATACGGATATTCCCACCAATGAGTGGATTTGTCATGGTGCAACTTTAATTTGTTTTTTCCTAAGTGAATCCTGATACAATCGCATCAATCCTGGGGTGCCACTCGTATGACATTGCAAAGGATGTGATTGTTGTTCAGGTAGGACATTCCCGTCATGGGATTCTGGATAGTTTTTGGGGGGAGAAAGGGACAACAGGCAAGACTTATCCATCGATTATCCATTGACTAAAAACATTTTCAAGAAATGAATGTGATTTGTAATGCACATGATATCTACAGTACCAACTCCTTCTTTGCCTAAAACCTCCAACAAACATAACAGTGACCATATTAACATTTCACAAATGTTTAAAATGTCTTTTAAAGACTATGGAGAAAGTTCCGTTGGTGTGTTCTACCATGGTTTTTAATTGTTGTTTTATGTTGTGATCTCAATAATAAAAATATTTATCTAAGAGAACCTGATACGACTTTTTTTTTTGTTTGCCTTGCCTTGAGTCCGAGAGTCCAAATAATTCGTCATTTCATAATGGTCTCTTCTTTGCGCACTTAAGTTCGCGTTAAAAAAACCAAACGAAATAAAAGGTACAGTACGTTTCAGACGTGAGAATAGACAAAAAACGAACAACCAAAACGACAGCTTAAAAACCACACGGGATGCATACAGACATTAACATTATTTTAAAAAGCACTACAGGAAATAAAATGTTTCTTCTTCATTAACCAAGAAAAAAACTAACTAGATACCTTGTTTCACGTATCTACGGCCTTTTATAAGTGCACTGATTTTGAGCAACCGTGGAAGGTATATCTTTTAAATTTAACAATTCTCACAATTCATTATGATATAGCCTTAACAGTTGTACCCTGGTTAACTCAATGCGTGGCATAGTGACAGTTTTCGTTTACAGGGCATTTCGTTTTCAAGCTATAGAAAAATCACTGGATGGTCACGTCATCATACTGTACGTAGCGTCCTAAAACAATGTATTTTCAAGAAAACAGCGGTTCACGTTAACCCTGTCGCGTTAATGGGTTTGGTCAAGTAAAAACAGAAGAAACCTAATCATAGTGTATAGATCAGCACCAGAAAAAAAGCCTGTAACCCATTCTCGTTTCAAAGAGACACATTCTTGTCTTTTTTAAAATATCACAATTAATCTTTTAATTATAAAGAACACGATTATTATTCCTTTAAACAAAATACTTGTTGATATTTATTTAAATCTCTAATTCATTTTTCATTAGGTGGCTTCTCAATACTGTGAAATAATTCAGGAACAATGTGTCATAGTATAATGTTAGAGAGTATTATATACTGTATGCTCAGGTACAATTTTATTCGTGATAACAACTTTTTCTTCGTGATAACTGCAACAGTGGGTTCTATAAGTCCTGAAAAAATGCACTTTTATATTAAGATAATTCACTTCTTATTGTCGAGAGTAGTTTCTTAGTTTCAGTCTATAAAGACCTCATTTTTTCCACAGTTTTCCTTTTTTATGATATTTTTTTTTCGTACATAATGGGCATACTACTTGTTTTCTTTTTCCGGTGTTTGAATTTTTATCCGAAATGTGGAGCTTTTGCAAAAATATCGTGCCACGAATTTCGAGCAACATTGTTTAAAAATGCGATTCTGTGTGTGAAAAAGAAAAATCTGGAAGAAAACATTTGTATGCTCTTCAAATGAAAACCTGAGTGCCTCTGAATCGTGTAAGAACATTTTTCACAAGTACCGCCAGTTAAAAAATAAACATGTAAATAAACATGCAACTTATTCAAAAGAATTAAGCAAGCATTTTATGATGATAATGATTTCAATAAAAAGACGAATACGTAAATAAATGTATTGCAAGTCTTTACAATCTAAGACACAACGCTAAAAGAAAACTAGAACGTTTCTTCCATCTATATGGTAGCAATCTTAAAATGTTAAATATAATATGCAACGTGAAAATGTTACTAACGTCTGCTTTAAACACTTTCAATCCGTGAGTTGCGAAGATCAGAATCGAACACAAGAAGTGAAAACATGTTTGTCCCATCCCATGCTCAGGCGATGATTTTCTACCGATATTACGCTCATCGCGTTGGCAAACCAGTATCAGCAGCTTATCTTTCTGTTAACTGTAACTCCAAATAAGTTTTTTTTTTTAAAAAAACCCGAATATATCAGTTAAGAAGGCGCCCGGACGTTGTCTGTGGAATACTTACATTTTTTGAAGATGTGATCAGGCGGCTGCTCAGAGCGGGTTTTGAGAAGGACTGTGCGTTTCTCACACTGCGCGACCCCTGTCTGAGCGCTGTGCGCAAACACCAAGTCCGGCAGCACCTTCTCGTCGCGCAGTCCCACAGCCCTCACCGCGGGGCGGGGGCAGCGGGAGTTGGTTCGGCCCTGAAGACGCGGGCCCTGGAAGGCTATCAAGTAGATTCAAGAATCAAGTACGGGAGCCCACTCGTTCAGACTGGGCACCTCCTAACCCCAGCACTTCAAAAGTCAGGAAACCGCGGTGAGAAGCGCTCCTTTTCGCGGTGCAACTGAACAAAAAAGTAGTCCGAAGAAGAATTCTTACGCTCGATGTTAAGAATTTAACAAGTTGTGTTTGAAGATCCGAAAATCAGTATCAATCATAATAATAATCGTTATCGCGATCGTGTTCTCATCATTACCGCCATCAGCAGTAGCTTTATTATTTGCCTGAATTTCAAGTTTTTAACTGGTATTGAACGCTTTGAGCGTCAATAAATGATCGTCATACATTGGTCCTGTATGTATGATTTATTATACAGTATGATCAATATGTAAGTGTCTGTCATGTCCACCTATCTTTCCTTTACCATTCCTCCTTCTCTAGCAGAAGGAACGGCGTATGATTATTATTTGTTTTTCAGAAATTGCGAATTGCTGAGTGCATTTAGAGCCAAAGTCCTGGCGAACCCTGGCCAGTCAGCCAGTGAATGACTCATGCTCCAACCGGTGATCATAAAGCTCAGTCTGCAGAGACCTTACTAATGGAACAACTCATGAGGCCCTCTGTCCCCCTTCTCTTATAATCTTCTATAAGACCTTTCATATTACTAATGAATTGATATTCATTTTTATCATGTATTTTACTCAAAGTGTAAAAAGCCTGAAGTGTAGACAGCCACACGCATTACAGTATGTCTGTCCTCAGCTGCTTTGTAGTAAAGGTTTGTTCAGTGGTGTACGTGACATACTGGTGCTTCAATAATACTCTGACTGCATTGATACCTTCAGTACTTATAGACTCCTCTGAACCTTAACAGAATCCCTTGTTTCTCTGTCTTTGTTTATTAGTTATTGTAAATGATCACAACACCGTCTTGTCAAGGATCCATTTACATGCATTTTTGTAAACAAGGTTGATTTACCTGAAATCATAAACTGTTTAAGTGTTGCAAATCTAATACCAGAGCATGTTTCCTGGGAGACAAGCAGGTCTCTCTGACCTGGCAAAGCAAAGAGCACAGGAAGCCGGAGGTTCATAAGACAGGTTAGAGTGAATTATATTTTACCACTCCTTACCGTTGGTTAAACCACGCTTGAGCAGAGTTTCTGTATGTTGACCAGACACATTTTGGCCTTCTCCCAAAAGAGCAATTGGAATTTCACCAAGGAGAAATGATTAATATTCATAAAACCATTTGAACGCATCTGTAATGGATAATGTTTAGGACTCAGGGGAGCAGTGAAGAAGAAGGCAGAACATTACTGGTACGGAAGATTGAAAATCATTTCCTCTAAACAGCCTGCACACAAATGACATACTAACACAAAACTGTTAACATATCAGATTCCAAATGGCTTGGTTTTGTGTAATTCAGAAGGGGGAAGTTCTGGTTCCCTATCTGTGAGATAAGTACAGCAAAATTAAGTTCAAAACTTAGGCTTAGCTTCTCTTTTGCCTTGTCCTGTCCTGAATGGAAGTGTTATATTTCTAGGTCAAGTGCTACACTCTGGAGTAATCAGAATCTAGGGCTAGGTCATACAAAAACAAGTAATTTATTTTTTAAACAAAGTTACATTCATTTTAAAAATAAAAAATATTGCATGATACAATGTTCTTCTGTCCAGTATCATAAAATATTGTTCATACATTGATATTCTCCAAGTCGTATAAATATTGAATCGTGTTTTCTGTTTTATGTGTTTCTCCCTCAGGCTTTAAACTTTAGAAAAAAGAAGAGCTTAAAAAAGCATGTAAGTCATTGGATCCATCTTTAGTTGTGAAATTGATGGCAGCTTTATTCAAACCTGATCAAAATGGTTCCTAAAATGAATGTTTGTGGACACATTTTGAGTGAACACCTGTGCTTAAAACACTTGGATACTATTGAAGGTGACCAACATGGTAGCACAGTGCAGTGCTGCTCCCCTGTGTTCAATTCCAAGCCTGGGGTGCTATCTGCAAAAAGTTTGTATGTTAGAAAGAAGCAGTTAGAAAATGGATGGATGAAGCTGACCAAACACATGTTTTTCTGGACTAAAGGCACAGACCAGCACCCAGACCAGTAAGTATGCTGAATGCGGCTTCATTAACTTGTATGTAAACATATCTACCGTCTGTATTACTGCCCGGCACCGGTAAAGACCATACATGTTTTTAAGTTTTTCATTAAGCGCTAAGCACATCACTACTTTCAGGAAATGCTTGATGAACTGCTGGGATGTAATTCACTGCTTTTATCAAAACTCAGTAATGAAGTCTCCTTGTCAGGATGGAAAATCTTTAAGTGCTCTGTCCAGGGTCCTGAAATCTGAAGATGATCAATTTCCTTTCCTTTTAATGTTGAAGTGGATGAACAGGAACGTTTTAAATGGTTTCCCGTTAGGTTTGTCTTTTAAACCTTCCTTAGGCATTTTTCCAGCTTGGGCTTTTGTTAATGGCAGCGCAATAAGCCTGCATGCATCTCTGTGGTGTGTTTGTGGATGGACTGGTGGTGTAGCAACACAAGATGTTCTTGGACCACAGCTCCCGGAACAAGGTCATTGTTTGTTTGTTGTTTAAACAAAAAGATAGGAGCAGTTTAATCTGAAGCTAACTGTACTGTTGTGCACAGCAAAAAAAAAAAAAAAAAACAACAGAAAAGCTCTTTCCTCTTTTTTCTCCCTCTCCATTTCCTGTGAAGTTCCAGCTATCCCTTCCTGGCCATGTGCATCCTGTAGTTTACTGCGAAGCGGTGCAGATTTCCCACTCAGAACCGTGCCTCTGAGCTTGTGTGCTGGCCCTGTGTATCGCGTTGAATTGGTGGAACACTGTACCTTTTCTTCTGGCCAACACAGAGAACACTGCGCCAGTCTTTCAGTGCACCGTCCCTGGGGAGGGGCTACCATTCGAATACTACACTGCTGCCTTATGCCAGCGGAGGCCTCAGGCCAAGTGGAATTAATGTTCATAATAAAGTTATTCTTCACATAATGGCCCCTCTTTAGCTCTTCACTACCTACCCTGGATCTGCTTCTAGTTTCCCAAGATTTCCAAGATTTTACACAATACAGACCTTCCACGTGTTTTTTGTCAGTTCTTTTTGGGGAAAAAAAATGTGGTGAAGGAGTATGGTTTGGGCATACTTTAGCTTGTGAAAAGGTGGTCCTTCCATCGTAGTTTGACTTTAGGCTTCAACCTGAATGTCCCAGATTTTTAAACTAAATGGTCTTTAAAAGAAACAGCTGGATATGATCCTTGGATTAATTAGTGACTAACTACCAGAAAGGATCTGCTCATCATCAATAATTTCTTTTTATAACCTGAATAACACAACGCATAAAACTATCTAAATCATATTATTATATGTTTTGATTGGAGTGTTTTTCCATTAGATTAGGTCAATCACTTTGTCCTAACGTATTTTCTTTTTCTTTCTAATGGCTGTTTAATCATCGAAAAAGGATGGATTCATACCACAGATGTAAGAAACACACTTAAAAACCCTGCTGGGACAAGCATTGTGTCTTGGTTTAATGCAGATAAGATTTCTATATGTATAAAGATCATTTTTACAATATTGCAGTCTCTGAATCATTACTCACCTAGTTTAATTTGGAACACCCATTCCAGTTGTGGATACACAGATCTTGCTTTACCAAGCAACAGTAACAGACGGGTCGCAACCCCCAGTGAGAAAAACCAGAAACCTTCTTTAAAAAAAAAAAGTCTGGGATCCAGCTAGCACCGTAAGCAACACACGTAAAGTATTAACTGGGCGTCTCAACAGCCATTGCTTTGTAACTTTTCACAGCTACGGTTTAAAAACAAACAAGAGTGCTCTTCCCCCTCCCATTTAATTATTCGTCTTTGCTTGCCCGGAAAAGTCAAACACTATCACAGAGTTGCGATGCAGTCATGCTGGCAAGTGTAGAGCCAGGGACGAAGACTGCAATTTGACATCGAGATTACACACTCCTTTCTTCGTTTGTGACCATCAATTATAACACCGTCATTAGTATGTAAATACATTTGATGTCAACACCTGGAATTCCTGAGAGTGTACATTGCACATTCCATTAGGAAGTCCTAGATCATGGATAGCAGATGCTTTTTTTAAAATTGTTTTATGGGGATGGGGGTATAAACCATCTCCAATCCGAGAAGGTTTATCTAATACCTTGACTGAAAGCCTGGGATGTTCTGCTCATTGCTGCCCGATGAATCTTACCCTTAATTTTTTCTATTTCCTGTGCCTTACTATCAAAAGGAAGCACTAGTGCAATGAAGTGCAAGAACTAACGAGCAGTGCTAGAGATACAGAGCAAAACAAGATGAAGTCAGCAGTATCTACCACATGGTAGAATCCAGGAGTTTACAGCAGTTCATGACAGCCAGCAGACATGACGAATGCGCAAGGCCTGAGACTGAACAAAGGTCACGAGTTGACCAGGAAGCCCCAAAGGAAAGCACTTTGTACTAGAGACACTTTAATGCATATGAGGACACCTCGAACATTACAGCAGCCCTGCTCTGAGCAGACATGACTAATATTTTATCGGGTCCTTGTCTGGGTCTCGAGACTTAGTCTGACAGGAACTGTTAATGACACCAAGCACTTCTACTGCTCTGAATCTCCCAACGAGTACTAGAGAATAATAACAGTGCACGTAAAGAAGAATAGATGAAGAATGTTACAAAAATGTTGTCAGACAAAAGCTCTTATTTTTATTATTCTGTCCTGTCTAAAAAGGTTGTGCAGTGCAATAACCAATCATCATGCAGAGTATCATACTGTATAGAAATTTATCAAGAGAGAGAAGTGAGCAGAGTCAAAAAGAAAATCAAAATGTCAAAGAAAAAGGAAATTAAAT